TTTTTGTTCTCTTATGTTTTCATTTCAACAATCAAAAAAGTTCAAAATTTCAATCAATCAACCAACAAAAAGGAATGAAAGTGTGAAATTCCAAAGTCTAGCCCACAGTTTTGCTTAAGCAGAATTTAGTGCTAGTCACATGTATATTGGTCCTTCTCAACAACCATAAACCATATAGAGGTAAGGTAGGGGTTTACATTCGGTTTTAGGTTTAGATTTGACTTAATAAGTCGAATTGGTTATGAAATTATCTATAAAGAAACACGTATTTTGGATTCAAATTATGACTAAATCCAAATCAATTTAACTCCAATTTGAGCTTGTTTTGGAATCTAATTAACCGAGTTCATGAACTTGTTAGTACCAAAAATATTTCTTTTATCTAAAAGGGCTACTCATGTTGCACAATTGTTACAACACTATTATTTTTAATGATGTTAATTTGTTCATATGTTCATACTGAAGAGCTTTAAATAGCAATGAGCATAAATGTATTGTGTTACATCGGAATGCCTAGGTGGAGGCCGCTTCCGATTAGTAATATCAAGGTACAATTGATATTACAGCTTAATCTTAACTGAACCCTTCGGGTTGAACCCAATCGAATCACCGATCCGGGACGACGAATTAATCCGAAAGGATTTAATGAGTCGACAGAGTTTTACGAATACAGACGTCGGATATCGAGCCTAGGGCGTCGAGACCGAGCGTCGCAAAATCACAAGCGACATGTACGAGCGTAGCCGTAGCACCACAATGGTCTAACCATGTGGATGCTAGGCTAGTTCGAGCTAGCATGCACCTAGCATGGCTAGGCGTAAGCCTGAGCACACTAGGTGTGCTAGGGGCACCATCGCTGACCATCGCAACCGTAGCATCATGCCTAGGCGCTATCGCAGCCCTAGCATCATGCCTAGGCGCTATCGCAGCCCTAGCATGATGCCTAGGCACCATCGCTGACCATCGCAGCCTAGGCGCACCATCGCAACATTGCAACGTGCTTGCCTGGATGCCTAGGTGCGCATGGCAGGACCACACACGCACCAAGCACAGCCATCGCAGTGCTAGGCACTGGCGCATGTGCATGTGCGTGTGTGTGCCTCGCACCAAGCACAACCATAGCAGTGCTAGGCACTGGCGTGTGCTAGTGCGAGGATGCCTGGCAGCATCGCCCAGCACGCATGCTAGGCCCTTGCGTGCGTAGGCTCACTGGCTGGCCTAGCAAGGTGTGCGAGGCATGTGCATGTGCGAGAGGTGCAGCGAGGGATGCGAGTGTGTGTGCGAGGCATGTGCGTAGTGCGAGGGTGATGCGTGTAGCTGGCGAGGCAAGGGGCCAGCATGCGTGGATCGCTAGCAGCACGCATGCTGGCTATGCGAGCATGTGCGAGAGAGGCGAGGGCCAGCACCAGCGCCAGCACGCACCAGCGCCCAACACTAGCACGCACCAGCGCCAAGCATCGCCCAGCACCAAGCATGCACTGCTTGGCTGGGATGCGAGGCTGCTGGCTGGGCTGGTGCTAGCTGGCTAGGCTAGCTGGCACTGCTAGCTGGCGTGCTAGCTGGCAGCAGCCCAGCAGCCTATGCTTAAGGCGGTTTTGTGAGGGGGTGGGGACCAAGGCTTGGGCAAAGCCTTGAGGAGCAAGGCAATGGTCCCCCCCCCCAACCTCTTCATGGTCCTCACCTAACCTTCTCTCTCCCCTTGACACTTGTTGCATTGTGATTGAATTTAATTATTAATTTATTTCCAAAATAAATTAATTATCAAATTATTCATTCTCCCACATTGGTTGGGGAATGAAGTTCAAGGGTTTATTTTCCTATAAATACCAAAGGCATGGTATTGGGAAATACACAACCTTGAGTGGAATTAAAAAGGCAACTCTTGTAATTAGAGTAAACCTTTGATTCTTAAAACTCATAGTTGTTGTTTTGTCCGGGTCTTGACTAACCTTCAAGACTTGAGACGCTCGGGTCGGGTCGAGGGTACGATCCGTCGGAGATCTCGTAGTTTCGGGATTTTGAAGTAAGAGCTCTTCGGGAGCGAAGCACGCAACAAAGGTATAATTCTTGTTCTTAATCTTGTTTGATTAAGTTTATTATGCTTGTTAATTTCTTTAATTAAGGGGCGGGTCTTGGGGGGTTTCCTTCCGCGTAGTGTCGGGTCACTACGAAACCCTACAATAACCACCACAGCAATCCAGCCGCAACATCAGTAGTCGCATCTCTATTAGACGCCCATACAACAGCCACAAATTGCTCCACCAATTCGCCACCAAAGCCCGACTCCAACATCAGCAATTTAACCTCCAACAATCAACAATTCAGCCAATTAGAAAATACAAAATTAAACGAAAATACAATTGCATTCAGATTCGGAAGAAAGTCAAGCAAAAATTACACATAAAATACAATTGAAGCTCAAGATTGCCAAACAAAGAAATTAAGTTGAATTATAACATAATTACACTCATATGAAACTCGATTAAGGATGAAATAGCTCAAATAAAGTTGAGAGTAGAATTTCGAGAAAAAATTACATATAAAAACCTAATTTACTAAAACAAGCAACATCAAACAGGAAATCGAACAAAATTGAACAAAATCGAACAAGAAATCGCAAGATCAAACAAAATCGAACAAAATTGATGAAAACAAGTCGAAAAAATTGATGAGCAAAAGTCGCAAAATCGCACTTGAATGTATAATGCATGTTAGGGACTGTGGGAATGAGCCACAAGAATATATGATTTATTGTAATAGAATCATCAGAATTATTCATTAGGTCGCCTAAAAATCTTATTAAATCATAGATTCATTAATAGAAAAACACAGCAATTATTAGAAATTTAGAATTGTATAATGACATAATGTCAATGTTGATACAAAGTATTTAAATATACAGATAAATTCCCAAATGCTAATTATGGAAAAATAAAATAATACGAGTATCTTAAAAAGATCTTGTCGTTGCTGTTGAATCCAAAGGTAGTCCTGCTCAAAAAGATAATTCTCACTAATCACCACATAATTTACTCAAGGCCTTTAAATAAACACGTATGAATCAGATTAATCACATGTTTGTTTTGGCATTATTATATAAACAGCGTGCGAAATCGAGACATTAATATTTTAATCTGCTTAATTAACGAACTAACTGTCACTCTCCTACTATAATATTATTTTAATTGTCACTTGCCCTAGACACACGAATGGTTACAATTACAACTCTACCCCTGTTAAAGTGCAATTATGTAATTGAATACAACAGTCGTCAAACTCATTGTTGGTACTTTGATTGTACATTTATACGAGTGCTTAGTAACGTTTTTAGTCACGTTATTACACATGCATGGTGTAGTGGAAAGAAAAGCACCTTCCAAATTACCATAAGGTTGGAGGTTCTTCCACTCTCTCAAATTGGCCCGGGTTAGGTTGACCCGTCAGGGGGTTTAGTCAGATAGGACCCTTCATCTACAACATGCATAGTCGCACATGGTGAAAGGTCGAAATCTTACAAAACTCATTATATGTAGAGGTGTCAATTCGTGTATTCAGGTCGGGTTAGATTTTTTTCAAATTGTAGTTATGCTAAGTTTTTGTGTCCAAATAAGTTGGTATTTAAAATTAAAATTTTTCGGGTCGAGTCAGTTGGGAAGGATTTTGATACCTCATAGGGACAACTTTCTATATCCTTCTTAAAATGAGACTTTTGTCAGTGTACTCGTGTTAATACATGAGATATATCAATGTTTAAGAAAAAACTATATTATATTGTAGAAATGAAAGTAAACACATGTAAATTAGCCAACAACTGATTACAAAATAAGACTGTGTTGATAATAATTGAGGCTGAGTAATACTCCGTACAAGTATGAAGTAGTAACAATGAGAATCTATATGGTAAGAAGAAAGTAATTATTCAAAATGAAAAAATTGACATACTACGTATAAAGAAGGAATAGTGGTGTAAGATATATGCCGTGGTCCTTTTTACAATAGTGATAGCAACACTTCAAGAGTAGCATAGAATAGATAGACTGGTCATACATACACTTGATTTGTATAGTTGTATGCATTGATCATAATGCCTGCCCAAAAGCTCTATTCTACTGCGAGTACCTTTCTTTAAGACAATTATTATATCGACTAATCTCAATAACATCATTTTTTACATCTTATGAGGAAAAGGATAACGAATTGCTTTATTGCAATAAAGACAATATTATCAAAATTTTGAAAATAAAATAAATTTTGTATCCCATCTCAATATCCCCTAAAAGAAAGTAGAGATCTCAACCCCCCCCCCCCCTCCCCTTCAAAATCTAGGAAAAAAAACATGTTAAACCTAAGCTTTCACTTTTATTTACTACTTTTATTTTCGGTAAATGTACTCCGATGAAGTCTAAGACAAATTAATACACATATTGAATGATCGACATATTAGTATGATTAATAATCATCAATCAATCATGTTTCTTACAAAACAAAAATAACAATTGTTTTTATGTTTACTGCCTTAAATTATTTATGATTAGTACGTCGACTTTTGTTCAATAGAATAAGAATCATGTGCTTGTATTCACACTTTAAAACTTTGAGCTTTAAAGTCTTATTTTTACCTTTCAATACTTTGAACGGGATAAGTTATCATTCATTTCGTACAGTACTTTAAATTTTCTTAATCTTACAAAAAAGGTTAATTCACTCATGATAGAAAACTATAAAATACATAAAGAAAATTTTCGTAGCATTGTTGATCATAGATAAGTTGATCTCGGTAGCAACAATTTTTTGTTGATTTTAATTTTTACAAGCCTCTGAAATATTTTCATGATTTTTGATAAGATACAAGGTTTGTAATTTGTATACTATCATAGCCATTCTAATTTCTAAATACTAAGTATTGCCACAAAATTTTGAAAGTAGAGATGATCACCATAGACGAATAGACCTGATTCGCATTGTCTAATGGTCTAACATTCAAACCAATTTCCTCTTCTATAAATAGCTCTTTTAATTATTAAGCTATAAACCTATACTCCACAAACTCAACCCGCTCAATAGTCCAATACGGACCATAATCGACCTTGACTCCTTTTTAAATTGTTACAAATACAATTCAACACAACGAAACAAAACTATTTTAGTGATCCCCAAAATCGATCTTTTAACCCTCACCAAGTCACCAATAAACTCTCCCCAAGTCTCACTAAATTTCCTCTACCCCTACTTTTAAGTCTTTGAGTGTGTCCCAAAAAGTCTAAAACCCCAGTTTTTCTCTCTCTAATCTCTATACAATGGTCTTACTCTTAATACAGAAATAGTCAAGCATCAAAGTATATTAAGAGAAGGGAATTCAAGAACACACCCAACAACTTACTTATCTTTGTTTCTTCAAATTCTTTCTTATCTGCACTCTATAAAGATATAAAGTATACTCCTCAAAAGAAACCTCCTTTTTCCCATTTACACTTCTGGTAAAGTTCCGCACTTTTTTTTTTTTTCTTCTTTTAATAATTTTTTCAAGAATAGCTTTGGTTGTGAATGTTCTTAGCAGCATTCTTATTGTTTTGTATTTTCAGCTTGGTATAATTTCGACATTCTATTCTTTATATTTCAATATTTTTACATGCATTTTTTATATTCTAATGTGATCTTTCTTTTTATATTTCTCTGATTTCTGCAATATTTTATACTGTTCATCTTGATTTCCATTGTTTTTTTTTTCATAAGATCTTACATGGGTTTGTTATATTCTTGAATTTCTTTGCCTCAAATTATAAAAATGTTGAAATTTTTTAGTGGGAAATTTGGAAATTGTCTGAAAGATCTTATTTTTCTGGGTAGATTACTGTGATCTAAGAGCATTGGGCACATGATCTGTCTCAATTTTAATTTGTCTTTTGCATGGTACAATTTGCCTTTTTTCTTTTTCAAAAACTATATTTAATTTTATTTCTTGCTTTCCTTTTAATATTTATCATATTTGTATTTTCTCGTGAATCCTGTGAAGCTTTTTCAATGGACTGTTTCATCTGTATGTGTCAGGTCAATTAGTATCAGCTACTCACAGATTTAATTTATTTTTCAAAATTTAAGAAAAGGGTTTTTTTAATAGTAGCAGTGTTTAAATTTTTTATCTAAACCTTGTACTTTGATCGCTTTTCCAAGGCTTAGTAGTTTATAATCCTTTTTTTTATATCTATACAAGTTCTATTCACTTTTTGTGAACTTCTTTGAGGTCTTAATGTTTATCGTATGTACCTTTTTTTTTTTTTTTTTCCGTGCACAAAAAGAGTAGCAAAAAATGATGAAGATTCATGTGATTTGCATAAAATTTTGTAGATTTGATTTATATGTGGTTAATTATCGATTCGCCACATAGCTAAACGATGCGAAACGAGCTATGGTTTGCACTGCCAATGATTTACTGGAGTGGAAGGATTTCCCTAAAGGCCTTAGGATCCTTCTCCTTGATGAGGACACAAATTCTGCTGCTGAGATAAAATCCAAGCTTGAGGAAATGGAGTTCATAGGTTAGATATAAAACTCATTATATTATACTATGTGCTACTTACTCCTTCTGGATTTAGTTGTCACATTACCAGCTCGGATCACACCATCAATCAACACGACAACTAATTTCAGACAGAGGGTGTAAATACTGAAAGAGTTATCTTGATTATTTTATTTTTCTCATCTTGTTTTTTTGCAAATGTTTGTGCTACTATGGCTAAAAAGGGAAATTGCACAAACTTATCGAGTTCATTAATGAGTTAGTTCTATGACTTCTATCTTATTTGATCGTACCCTTAAATAGGTCGGTCCTTCAATTTTTCTTTAGGTATTAGTTGTAACAACCTACTTAATTACCTTGATTTAGTAATAAATTCCTTTTTATAAACTTTGGGTTAGTTTGGTTTGAACTTTTCTTCATATTTAGAGTTTGCTACATCCATACTCATGAATGCTATAATGAGAAATTATTTTATTTGTCTTTGGTGAACAATTATTTGTTCAAACTTGGAAACTTTTGAAGTGAATGATGAAGTAAAGCTATCAATACATTGCACAAATGCACACCTTTCTGCTATCAATAAATGAACTGTATAAACTATAAAGTCCACTTTTTTTTCTTTGATTAGAAACATATTCTATTGTGTGAAATATTTTGGTACACTTGTGCAAGATTCTTTTTTGTCAAATTGGTTAACTTTTATGTGTGGAATAATTTTTGTTTCGTTTCTTTCTCAGTTTTTCTTTAAAACAATTGACAATGTGCACTTGTTTCTGTCTAGTTATTGCATTTTCTAGTGAGCATGAAGCTTTATCTGCAATCTCAGGCATAACCGAGAGCTTCCATGTTGCCATTGTAGAGGTAATATTTTAATAATGTTGATATAAAAAACGGACTTGCATATTTCCGATTATTTAAATTACGACATTATTCTTTTCAGATTTGTATGTATGTGATCTTGAAAAGAGCATTCTGGCTGTCATTTCGTTAAACAACTGCCCCATTATTCTATAATTAAACAAATTCTATGTTTGTTGTCTTGTTGCAAATGATTTGTAAGTGAGATATTTTTTCAATATTTTTGATCTTAACAGGTGAGTATACACAATCGCGATGGGAGATGTAACTTTTTAGAAGCTGCAAAAGATCTTCCTACAATCAGTAAGCATACTTTATGATGTTAATCATTTGTTAATTCTTTTGTATGCCTATCACGGACTTGAACACGTGCGTATGTTCATTAAACTAATCAATTAATTGTATCTATATTTTTAGTGATCTTTTTGGTTTCCAACTTTGGCTTTATTACTTTCACTTAAAAAATAAGTCTCATAAGAGCAACCCAAGTTCAATTTACAACTAAAATAAGTTCAATTGAGTATAGATAATCTAAAAAACACGTTTTTCTGGATGAGTAGAACGAAACCTTCATCCTCCCATAAATTCATCGCCTTTGGTCTATGAAGTATCTTGGTGAACAGAAAATATTCTCTATTTGTCTAGGAATACAAAATTCAATTCTTAATGTGAAGTGTTCAATTTTTCCTGGTTACAGTGATATCAAATGAGCAATGCTTAAATACCATGATGAAGTGTATAGCGGTATTTTTTCTGATCAAACGTTATTATATTACCATGGCGGCTGCCTGATGTTTTCTTGTCTCAATTATATTTATCTTTCCGTGTTCATTGCAGCTTGGTGCAGTTGAATTCTTAATAAAGCCACTATCGGAAGAGAAACTCCGAAATCTATGGCAGCATGTAGTTCATAAGGTCTATTTTACTAACCCCATTGGTGATGGATTTTACAATGCAAAGAAGAGTTACTGAATTTAATGCATCTTGGCAGGCTTTTAATACTAGTGAAAGGGCAAAGTCAGAATCACTCAAGTCTGTTAAGGAGTTTGTTGGTTCAGTTCTGGAAAATCAGCAACAAAGTATAGCTACACAAACTCAAGTCGCCGAGGAACCAATAATAGATACAGAAATGGACCAAAATGATCATGATCAATCAGCTGCTGGTGATAAATTTCCTGCTCCTTCAACTCCCCAAATAAAACAAGGAGGAAGATCAGTTGATGATGGAGACTCTCAAGATCAAATGGCCAACAACTCCCCTGTCAAAGAGGGTGGGGAATTTGACGGGGAAAACAAATCTGTCGATAATACTAATAATGGCAACTCATTTGCCACAATGGAGGTGGATCCACCCCAGCCAACATCTGTGGCATCTATCAAAGAGGAGGACCGTAGTGATGGATCTAGGGAGTCGGATAAATCCATACCTAAGAGCCATGAAAATGAGGATACTACTTATGTTGGTCCCGATAGTGGAAACTTGAATAAGGATTCTAAAAATACACGTGGAACAAAGGGTAGCCGGAAAAAGATTAAGGTAATAATGTTATAATACATGGATTTTTAAAGGTTATATCTATATGACTTTCTCTATGATCATTATGGTTTTCCTTTTTCACATGATGTATGTTATTCTAAATTATATGATCTATATCATTGGCTATATAGGGTGGATTCATATACGTGCTCATTGATTTGTTCTATTCATTTCAGGTAGATTGGACTCCTGATCTGCATAAAAAATTTGTGCAAGCAGTGGAGCAACTTGGTGTTGATCAAGCCATCCCTTCTCGAATCCTAGAGTTGATGAAAGTGGACGGATTGACTAGACATAATATAGCTAGTCATCTCCAGGTAAGATGCTCAAACTTTCTATTCAAAAGTGATTATATTCTTAGAGTTACGGTTTGGTGGCTAAACTTACTAATGATATTTTGCAGAAATATAGAATGCACAGAAGACACATTTTGCCTAAGCAAGAAGAACGAAGGTGGCCGCACCCTAGAGATTCAATACAAAGGAATTACTACCCCCACAGACCAGTGATGGCATATCCTCCCTATCACACCAATCACAACTTTGCATCCGGGCAAGTCTACCCCATTTGGGGACAACAGGGTTGTCAGCCTCCTAGTTATCCAATGTGGGGGCCCCCGAGTTATCACTGGCAGCCCGCTGAAAACTGGCCTTGGAAGCCGCCCTACCCTGCGGTAAGACATACCTCGTATATTTTCTTGAAACGCCAATTGGTTTGAATATAACTCAATCTCAGATTATGACACATTGCTTATTTTGTTTCAGATGCATGCCGATGCATGGGGCTGCCCCGTGTACCAACCACCTCCATGCCCATCCTCGGCCTTCCCTCAAGTGAGTTTCATTGCGTATTACAATCACTATTATGTTATTAAGGTTCCCTTTAGAATCAATATCATATCAAAATTCATTCATGTATCCAAACATTAGATCAGAATTATCTAATTATAAGATTCATTTGACAGCAAGCACAAGGGACATATGGATTTCACAGTAGTCCTCATGAGAGCTATGGGAAGAATTGTTCTGATATTAATCCGGTAATTCAACCTTTCCCTCTATTATGGAATTTTCTTACTAATCTAACCTCTAATTGACATTTATGCCTTGAATCTGTCAACAAGAAAATGACACTCTTGTCCATTATTCAACTTTCGAGGCCTTCCCGAGCAAAATTGTCATTTTCTGTAAGATCGAGTCATGATTTGTATATTTTCCGAACTTAATCCTACCCCAATATTTGACCTCCAAAACCGTATGATTGTTTTTCATGTCTTGTCCTGTTAGAAAATGTGTAGAATAGACACCATCTGTCTGTGTGTTGCCTTTTGATCTAAACCACAAATTGTCATCCTGTTTTTGGATATTTTTCTAAGCAGTTTTTGATTGTTTTGTAGTAGTTTTGGAAGGTATAATTCCTGTACTTGAAGTCCAACAACCAATACCCATCATTGTACCCTTTGAACTAGCAAGTGGGTATTATTTAAGACTTGATGTATTGTAGATCAGCAACAGCACATGCTGAATTTATATTAGTTATATAATACACGGATCATCTATTGCAACCCAAAAAAATGCTACTCGTACGTATATTAATGTGTAAATTTTATACAACCTTGAAAACTGATTATCATTCACACTATTTTGGTAATGTGGTCCTTAAAACCATCGTTATTATTATTCAAGCTTTCATATATATAAAATGAAATCATTATGTAATACTCCATGTCCGAACCTCTCATAATCATGTACTATGTATAATTGTATATGACATGATCTTACTTAAATTTAAGAAGTGTATGTTACAAAAACCAACCATAAACCATTAGAGAAGTGAATTTTGATAAATATATTTTATAGACATCCTATAATATTATTCCGTGTGACTGTTAATACAGATGGAGGAAGTAGTTCAATCTATATAAAAGTTCTCATTTTGGATTGCATGAATACAAGCCCACATGTCTGTCCTTTTCCTCCATTCTCAAGAGGGTTTAATTGTTCAATTTTCGTAAGAATTTTTCATGAATCTGTATTCGTAGCTTAATAGAGCGCGAACTTTCTTCATAACCTTTATGTCGATTGTAGAAAAATTGCGTAGCTGGCTAAAATTGACTTGGATTAGGGTATAAAAACTGACGTGACAATCCTAGTATTATAACTCAGAACAGTATCTTATTGGTGGATGGCCCATGATCATTTTACTTATGAATCTTAAATTTGCTACTTCGTATATGATTACATATTTAAATGATGTGATTAACCATGAATGAATCTAATGATGATGGCGTTGTATGCAGAAAGACGAGGTAATCGACAAGGTGGTTAAGGAGGCGATAAGCAAGCCGTGGTTGCCACTACCAATAGGGCTAAAGCCACCTTCAACTGATAGTGTACTAGCTGAACTCTCTAGGCAAGGAATTTCAATCATACCTCCCCACATCAACGGGCACCATCCATGCTGACTTGGCATATTAATGCAAGAAGGGCCCATATAAGGAGGATCTGATGCTGTCAAACAGAATAGCACAGTTGACAAGTGTCATGGTCCCCTTAGTCGCCGATTTTTTCCTAATCGATCGATTGAGGTTCGACCACGTATGCAACCTTAGAACCACAGAGATGTTAATGGCTGTAAATAGAGCTGACATGAATTTGAGTTGATGATATTGGAGTGGTGGGTAGGTCATGGAAAAAAATTATATGATCAGATTGATCATAATGGAAAAAGAAATTAAAGGGGTGGTGAGTGTGAGTGTGAGTGTGAGTGTGAATGTGATGGGTGCATCATTGTTTCAATGTTTGTTGTTTCTTGTTGGTGGGATGAAAAAGGGTCCTACAGATCTGATGGAGTGTACTATTTTCTGAAGGAATTGTCCCTTAATTTGTAGGACTAGTGATAAAAAAATTTCCCATTATAAAAACTTTTTACCACAGTAATAATAATAAAAGGTCGATAGCTTTTGAAGATTGCTCATGTCTTCTTAGATCTGTTATTCATGTGCTTCATTCTTTCTTACACCATGTGAAATTTGTGATTGTTATTCTTGTCTATTATACATCCAATGTACCTTGTTGTGAAATAACTTATATTTTTCGTTTCATTTAATATAAGAAGTTTTGACTTTAGTATTATTCACATAAGTCACTTTGACTTTCTTTTGTGATTTATACTTAAGAAAAATATAGGCAAGGTCTTGTTAGATTCTCTTATGTGAATTTTCCAAACATGAGCTTTTTACAATTTTTTATCTTATGGAAAATCGAAGACATTATAATTTGAAATCATACCTTGACAAATGTGTATGAAGAAACGTGTTAAGTAAAATCAATTATATTATACTAAAGGCGAAACTTAGAGGGACACTTGGCAATATAATATACTTTTGATTTTTGATTTGTACAAAATCTAAAACAAATTTCCTTAAATATTAGATTGCTCATTATGACTATTACATATATTTAATTATTTTCTTTCACATATATTTCATAGTTTTTTTTTTTTTTTTGAAACAATATATTTCATACTTTTTAATACTGAGTTTGAGTCTATTTCATACTTTTTCTGATAAAATTTATTGTCATTATAATTATTTGAAAACCGTGCATTACACGAGGTTTAATCTAGTGAAATAAAGAAAGTATAATCTCTATTTTTATAAAAGTGAGAGTGTTTGGAGGGGGATCTTATTATTTACCAAGAACAAGAATTTTAATTCTAATATGAACAGCCAATCAAGTTGCATACTTTTTTTTTTTCTTCTCTAATTTCTCAAACAAAAGGGGAAAATAAATAAAATAAAAAGGTGTGTAAACCTTATCATGTGGTAAAGACTATAAGTTCAGATTGTTTATGTCATTCTATGACTCATAAACTTTTGGACTTTAGGTTCACTTTCTTTATTGGGCTAAGCCCAATTCAGAATGGTTCAATTTCTTTATTGGGCTAACCAAATTCAGAATGGTTCACCTCCTATTCATAAATGGCTACTTGTTATTAGCAGTTTTCCATCCATCATCCCCTTTCAGTGAAGAAATGGGTTTACTAACTTTATCCCAAAAAACAACAACAAGAAAAGAAAAAAAAAAAAACAACAACAAAACTAAGGGCTAAGGTTATGCAGCTATGCCTCTATGCTTAATTAGATAAGAGTTTGTTCTCCTCGTCTAAAATAAGGTGTTTATGATAATCTAATGAGTCAATGTGACTAAATTTTAATTTTTACAATAATATATAAGAAAGATATTATATGACGAGATCATATTAGATTCACCTAAATCCACCTAAGTTATACCTTCAGTTCTAGATAATTCAAATACATTGCATACAGAATGAGTAAGGATTTTGAAGCTTGATCAATTCAATGTTTAAGGTTATAGTGTAGAAGATGCCATATTACTACTATTTTCGAACGATAAAAGGATACTAGTTAAGTGTCGATAAATCATTACATTAAGTGCCCCTCCGCACAAGTGGAAATCAATACGAAGAATTACTAGAAGCATCTATTGTCACGACTAGGGCTGTGCAAAACTATCCGAAAAACCGAAAACCCGAAAAACAGAACCGTAACCGAACCGAAAAATTGGGTACCCGAACCGTTTAAAGAAAACGGGTCGGGTAACCGAACCGATAAGAATTTAACGGTTCGGGTAACGGGTACCCGTTAACACTGTTTCGGGTACCCGAATGTCCCGAAAATATTTTTTTTCGAAATCTCAAATGAAAAATGTCTGTTTTTTTTAGAAAAAAAGAAACAGAAAATAAAGAACAAAAAAGTGAAAACCCTAAACTTCGTTCTTTTCTCATTTCTCAGTCATTCACTTCACTCAGCCTCCATCCCCCTCTCTCTCCTCCTCTTCTCTAATGTCTCTGCCTCTGGTTCTCTAATCTCCATTCTCCATTCACTCCTTCATCTCCTCCATTGAAGCGGCTCTGAGCTTTCACTCCTTCATCTCCTCCATTGAAGCGGCTCTGAGCTTTCACTCCTTCATCTCCTAATGTCCTCAGGTAATTAACTAATTATCCCTTTGCCAGATCTAATTATTTGCAATGAATTGATTAAATTCAATTAAACTTAAACTCTTGTTTTAATTTCACAGATCGCAGATTCAATTTAGGGCTCTGCGTACTTCGACTTCTCCATTGAAGCGGCTTCTGAGCTATACGCCTATACTCCTTCATCTCCTCCATTGAAGCGTACTTCGACTTCTCCATTGAAGCGGCTCTGAGCTTTCACTCCTTCATCTCCTACATTGAAGCGGCTCTGAGCTTTCACTCCTTCATCTCCTCCATTGAAGCGTACTTCGGCTCTCCATTGAAGCGACTTTTGAGCTTTCACTGTTGAGGTAATTTACATTTTATAGTATCTGACTATCTGTGGTTTTTTCGGATTTGTAATTGTTTTTTTTTCCTGATTTTTTATTGTGGTACTATTAATTTTTTTTTTGTTTTTTTTGGGAGGAATGGTACTTATTATGGTTTTCAGAATTGAGGTTTTTTTTTATTATTTTTTGTCAAGTTGTGTCTGTTAGATTTAGATGAGTGAGTAAGGTGAGATTTCTGTTTTTGATGTGGAAATAAGGTTGTTGAGAAAAAACAAGGATTCAGAGTGATGTTGTTGTGTGATGTTGCTAAGCATCTATAGTTGCTGTGTACTAATGTTGTTGAGCATCTATAGTGTTGTGTGTGGCTTCCTGTGTGTTGAGCATCTATAGAGTTGTACATGATAATCATGTAGTCCAATATGATTTATTGTAACATGAGTTAATTACAAGCATTTTAAGAAAACGTTTTAAGATTTATTGCAGTCCAATATGATAATCATGTAGTCCAATATGATTTGTCTAGTTGCTTCTACTCAGGTTAATCTGTCAATGTATGGTTTAACAGAATTGAGTAATATTCGTCAGCTAGAATTTGGTTTAACAGTAACTTGTGTGGCTGTGTACATCATCTTTTGGACTCATTTTCAGTAATACTTGCCTAAGGTACTGCAAGGCTCACAGAGTGATTATATGGTGTAGTTGTACCAATAGTTTTTTTTATTTCACTTGCTTGTCTGAGATTTTATGATTGTGTATTTGTGTGACGTGGAAAAGTTTTTGTCCTGTTTGTTTCTAATAGACATATGTCCTAGATGTTCACCCTTTCAACCCTCATATAGCTATGACTCATTCTTGTTATTTGTGTATACATGATTGAACTTATTTGTTTTTTTTTTTTTCATTTGTAGGAGTGTATGGAATCTGGAAGTAGTGGGGATATGGAAGACTCATCGGCTACAAGTCAAGCTCCTCCAATTCCAAGTCCTCCTCCCGAGCCTTGGGAGTATGACCCTTGTCCAATGACGGAAAATAATGACCCCTTTGACCAGCAAAATCAATCAAACCAACCTTCTGAACCTGCTGATGTTGCTGCCCCCTTAAGTGAAACTTCAAAAAAATCTAGAAAAAGGCGCTCTCCTCATTAGGAGCATTTTATAAAGAAGGATGGAGAAAACAAGGCTGAATGTATCTATTGTCATACATTCATTGGTTGTGCATCACTTCAAGGTACCTCCGGCATGAAGAACCACATAAAGCGGTGTAAGGAATACCCCCCAAACATTGATCAAAATCAGCAACTATTGTCCCTTAGTCAACAAACTCTTGATGGGAATCTCGTGGATAAAAAAAAAGGTAAACTTGAGCTGTGGAAATTCAATCAAGAAGATAGTAGGAGAGCTCTGGCAAAGATGGTGATCATGGATGAAATGTCTTTTAGAATGGTGGAGCATGAAGGTTTTCGCAACTTTATGAAGGTAACGCAACCCTTTTTCATTATTCCTTCTCGATGGACAGGGACTAGAGATTGTTTTAGGATTTATTTGGATGAGAAAAAAAGTTTGAAAAGTTTTTTTAGTAAGTGCACTTCACGTATAAGTCTCACCACTGATACTTGGACTTCTTGCCAAAATATGAATTACATGTGTTTAACCGCTCACTTTATTGACCAAAATTGGAAATTGCATAAAAAAATAATTAACTTTTGTATAATTGCTGGTCATTCTGGTGAAACAATTGGTAAATCTGTCCAAAAGTGTCTACTTGAATGGGGTATTTCTAGAGTAATGACTGTCACTGTAGATAATGCAAGTTCAAATGATGTTGGCATTCAATATTTGAAAAGAAGGTTTGAAAGTTGGAAGACATTAGTTTTGGGTGGTCGGTTTTTACACATGAGATGTTGTGCTCACATATTAAGTTTAACCGTTAAAGAAGGATTGAAAGAAAGTGATGTGTCAATAAAAAGAATTCGTTGTGTTGTTAGGGTATGTAAGATCATCGGGTGCTAGATTGCAAAAGTTCATGAGTTGTGTTAAACAAGAAAAGTTGGAGTCAAAACGTTTTCTTTGTTTAGATGTGGATACTAGGTGGAATTCCACTTTTTTAATGCTGGAAGGTGCTTTGGCATATCGTAGGGCTTTTGATTTGCTTGAATGTTCAGATGGTGGTAAATTTAGGTATGAGTTACTTAAGACAGGCGGGGTGCCTGAACCTAGTGATTGGGATCGTGTTGCCTCTTTTCTTCCTTTACTTAAAATATTCTATGATGCTACTCTACGAGTTTCCGGCTCGTTGTATATCACCTCTAATGTGTATTTACAAGAACTTGTTGGGATTAGTGTGTTAATCAAGAAAAAAATGTTGAGTAATGATGCGGGGGTGAGTTTAATGGCTAGTGGAATGAAGAAAAAGCATGACAAGTATTGGGAAAATGTTGATAATGTGAATCTCTTGTTGTATATTGCTGTCATTCTTGATCCTAAGCGGAAAATGGGATATACTAAATGGGCAATTAATCAACAATATGATTCTGAAAAAGCTAAGTACTTGTGTGATAAAGTGATGCAAACTCTGAATGACATGTATGAACTTTATATTTCTGAAAACCCTCCAAATGAGTCTATTCTCCCTAAAACTTTTGATTTTTCGGAGGAAGTAGAAGATATGGATTCTGATGTAGATGTTGCGGAATTAGAGTTTGAAAGGCAGGTGGGTTCATGTGTTTGAGTACAAGGGAAAAATGAGTTGGCCAAGTATTTAGAAGATGATAGAGAAGTTAATCCCGCCGGAAAAAGCTTTGATTGTTTGGGGTGGTGGAAAAAATATGGTGAAAGGTAATCCAACAATAGCTCTCATGGCTAGAGATGTACTTGCCATTCCCGTATCAACAGTCGCTTCCGAATCAGCTTTTAGCACCGGTGGTCGAGTGCTTGATTCATTTCGCAGCTCACTCTCAACTAAGATGGTTGAAGCCTTGATTTGTGCACAAGATTGGTTACGTACATCTCAAGGTCCTCTTATACTTGAGGAGAGACTTGAAGATATGGAAAAAATTGAATCAGGTAACATTTAAATATTTTCTCTTTTTTTTTAATCTCATTATCTTGTTAATTATTCATTAACTTTTTTTTAATTTTTTTTTTGAAGAAATGTTACCTCTTGGTGAGGAACACTCTCTCTTTGTTGATGATGATTAATTGATTAGAGGCAGCAACTTATAATCATGAAGGTTGGTGGTGATTGTATTGAAGGCCGGAAGTCATTGAAGGCTTGGAGTATTTTATGAAATATGATTACTATGGACTTTTTTGTTTTAAAACTATAAACTATGGACTTTTTTTTTGTTATGTATTGGTTTATTATTGTTAACTATGGACTTTTTTTTAAAAAAAGAAACAGTATGTTTGTATCAAGTATTTGTTCATTTGTAATCGGGTTGAGTGCTGTGTTATATGTGTATTCAGGTTTCAATATCAGCCTATTAGGCTGTTATTTGTTACAAAAAAAATCATAGTACTAATAACAATAATTAATACTAGAAAAACAGGTGGAAGTTTGGACAAAAATATTATTAAGCAGGTGGGTACAAGGAGGAGTTCAGGCAGCCAAGTAGGAGAGGTGAGGAGGCAGCAGCCTCAAGGACAGGGACTGGTAGGTTGCCAAAGCGGAAGACAGCGATAGTTGTAATTATTTTTGTTATTTGTGTATTTAAGTTCAATTGTTATAATTCAAAAAATAGGAAGTAAAAAAAAAAAACTAGTAAAAACTAAAAAGCATCTAAAAACGAATTGCAAAGTAGGTTTTAAATAAATAAAAAGACCCAAAAAAAAAATCAGCTTATTGGTTCGGTTCGGATATTTGGTTCGGGTACCCGTATTTTCGGGTATCCGAATTTACGGGTACCCGAACCTTATCGGAACGGTTTCGGGAATCGGTTTTAGCCTTAACGGTTATCGGGTACCCGATCCAATAACGTTATCGGAACGGGTACCCGTCCCATGCTCTCCCCTAGTCACGACATTGCTAGATGTATACTAATCCTGTTCCTGTTAGCTAGCACTTAGCAGTATCTCAGCATGTTACTTACAAGTCCTCATTGAAGATGGAACTCAAATCCCGTTGACTTGATCACTGCTTGACTCAAATTGCTTTTGAATGGCCGTTGTATTCCAGTTTGAACTTGCTAAGTATCCAAATGTAGGTACTGAAATTAGCTTTGTTGAAAAAACAAATATGAAGAGGAAAGGTGGTACATCAATGAATCTCTCCGGCCATCCAAACAAGAAGTTTAATTTTAGTTTATGTATTTGTACTTTTGATTTTAATTGTTGTAGTATTTGTATCTCGTGTAAGGCTACTCAAAATCTAGCAAGTATCGCTAGAGATGAGTAGTAGTCGTGTGTATTGGTTGCTTACTCCGTTGTCAAAAAAAAAAAAAAAAACACAAATACGAAGTACTTTCGTCAATATGATGTGCTATTTTTTTTTTTTTTTTTTTAAATACGGAGTAAGTAGAAGGATGTTGATTAGACCTTTACCTGTCGTTTTTTTTAGTCTAGTGTTTGCATGACATTTTGAAATGAAGGGGGATAACCGGACAAAGGTAAAGGGATCCCCACACTCAGAGTGTCCCTAGTGGGGACTAGAAAATTGAACAAAGGTTGAGGTTGACAATGTGAAATCTAGGTTGTTATTTGTTAATATGGTGTAGGTACTGATACCAAAGTGTACTTTTATCATTTCAAATAGAGAGGCTAGAAAGTTGTATTGTCATCGATGAATTTAATAATTCGAAAAAACTAAAGAAAACCTATTAAGTTCGATGTGTTATACTCACAATATATGGAGAATGATTTCGAAAGTTTACACATCTTTGACTATTAATGATATTTATTTTGTTAAATTTGTCAAACTTAAATATAATAAAACCTTTTAAAAGTGTAAAAAAAACATTACAAACCAAAAGCTAATAATTAAAATTTTGTGACATTCCCTGCAATGATTTAATAGAAGCATTTATGTTTCTTAAACAATACAAAATAGCTACAAAGAAATTTATCTTCCTCATTTAGAGTATTTGGAAAGAGAAAACTCCATTATATTTAGGCAATACTCCTTTGAAATACCGATAATATACCACCGAGCGCATATTGCGTTCACCGAGTGGCATCATAGAACTTTCACAGATACCTTTTTCTCCTCGGGGTCTCCTATCCGAAGGCTCCCCCCTCCCTTTCTACCCATCCTCCTCCACCTAATTCCATCATGGTTTCTTGGGAGGCTCCACCCCTCAACTTCCACAAACTCAATTTTGACGGCTTGGTTCTCAACAACTCGGCAGCAGCAGGAATCATCATCAGAGACAACAGCGGGACTTCTTCCGGAGCGCGTATCTTCAATCTCGTCAACACCAAAGTCTTCATTGCTGAGGCGACAACTCTTCACAAAGGTATTCTTTTGGCCCTTGAGCTCGAGATTAAAAATATTTAAATCGAGGGCGATAATCTCCTAGTCATCAACTCTCTCAAGGGCACTTGGTCAATTCCTAGGCAAATTCAGCTCATCATTAAAGACATTTGCACTCTTCTCACCAAATTTGATAATTGGGGCATACGACATATTTTTCAAGAGGCAAATCAGGCAGCTGATTGGATAGCTAATGTAGGTCATCTAGTTAGTGATAGTATGGACATTACTCCTTGTAATAACTCCAGTCTTTCTATTATTCTCTCCTTTGATGCATTAGGAGTTCTTCTCGCGAGGAGGATCTCCTAATGTCCTCTATTTTTCTTACCATCAAAAAAAAAAAAAAATAACCAACATTTTGTTGACTTACATAATAAAAAAACCATTTAAAAAAGCCATAATGCGCCCAAAACTCGAGCACCTAACACCAAAACACGTCGTTTAAACACAACCCCTCACTCAAATTTTCCAATATACCCTTCATCCCCTTCCTCATCTACCCCATCTTCTTAGGGGCAAAAATGTCATTCCACACAAATTTAGTTTTCTCTATCATCGAACATTATCACCAGCTAGATATAGCAAAAAAGTAAAAACCATTTCAACTTTTTTCTCTCTCCTCAAAAATTCTTTACTTTCTCTCTCGTCGAAGAACTCAAAATTTTAAATTTTTTTTTCCTTGTATCATCCCGATTTCTTCAACCTGTAAGTGTAATACTCTTAGATTCTTCAACTAGATTTTTCCCCTTTTTTAAATTTTAATTTCCTGGATTTATCTGATTTTGTTATTAATTCTGATTAGTTTGATCTAATTTTGATTAAGTTTTCTTAATCGGTTCACATAATTAGCTTAACAAAAAAAAAAAACCGTTAATTTACTTGATTTTTGAATTTTGATAATGCTGATTTCTGATTAAATTTCCAATTTTTCTTGCTATTATTTGCTATTCATGCTGATTTATCTGGCAATTTTTCTGTTGGTTTAAATAGTTTGTGTTATTTATCTATTTTTGGTTTTGTTTGAGCTCTGGATTAATTCTACAATAATATTGTTGATTGCAGGAGGCGATTTTGTTGGATTGGTGATTAGAAAGAGGGTTTATTGTAAATTATAAGAAATGGGGTGTCAAGGGTTTTGGGGGTGTTTGTTGAAATTACTGAATTTTTTGATGACCCTTGTGGGGTTGGCAATGGTGGGATACGGGATTTACTTGTTTGTAATGTACAAGCAAGCGTCACCGGATTCCGGTCCTCCACCAGTTAGTCCTGATGAGCCACTGATTCAGCTCGGTCGCCCTTTGATCATGTCTGTATCGTTGTTGTCGAACAACGTTTTCGATAATCTTCCTAAAGCTTGGTATGTATGTTAGTATCACTGCTTTGCTAAATCATGTCTGTGGTTGTTTTGTTCATAGCTTTCTAGTTCCTACATTGGTGTGCTCTAGTTCTTGCAGATTTGTTTGATATTGCTTTATGCTAATGCAAACGTCTACCAATTATTTGGCTGAGATTGTGAATTTGTGATGAAGTTTTAAACTTTTAATTACAGAAAAGAGATATTCAGACTAAGTAATCGGTGTTCAGTTGATATGACCTTATGTCATGAAAGGGTATTTGGTTAGTATTGAGAGCACTAGGAGAGTTTCGTGGTTGAAACTAGAGTAGTTGTGAACTATGGAGGAATTTATTGAGGCTCTTTCTGGTGAGGGTCTCTGAATCGTGTGTTATTTCTCTCTTCATTGCTGAAGGCATAAAGCAAATTTTTTGGATAAAGACGTGACCACTAGATATTAGATAAGTCTTTGGCCAAAGTTCTTAAGGTTGATAAATGATGGATTCATGTGTCAAATATTCTGATTCTTTCTCCCGTTAGATGTTTTGATAATTTTCAGTGCGCACCACTCCCCCTGGAGGAAGAGTTAAGGAAAGAGAAGTGTGTAAATCATAGAAGCTTTGTTGTCTAGTGTCCTCCATGTAGGTTGATTTCTTTTTATTGCTTAGACTGTGTATTTGTGATTGATGTTAGATTGTTAGTTTGCCAGTAGAAATATTAATAACCCTTTTGCGGATTTATCATCTAAACTAGAAAATACTACATATATTAACAATTTTATCTCATAACATTGATGAAGATGCATGTTACAAATTTCAAGGTCAAATTAGGTGGCTCTCTTCCTAGAATTTACCTCCCAAAGAATTTTGTAAATTGGATTTTGCCCAAAGTTTTTGTCATTCCTCTCTCCTTTGTCTGGTTCAAGGCTATTTTTTTTTGCAAATTTAGCTTAATCCCATTATAACTTTATTTTCTTCTTGCCCTCTTTGTTGGAAACCAGTCAAGTGCTGCCCTCTCGGAGACTTTTTCTTACAACCTTTTATTCTCCTTAAGCCATTGTTGTTTTGATCTGTCTTTATGTCTATCTGAGACCTATAGAAGATTTAGTTTACATAGTTTGTTGATTATCAATTTAGATGCCTCTTGCCCACTAGTTAGTCGGTAATGTTATTGTGTCTGGTGGCAGTGGTGTTGCTCCCGCTGCCTGTGGTCCTTTATCCTATGAAATGTTTGCAATTTTCTGTTGCTGCCTTCTGGTGGCATTATCTGCCTCAATTTTGCCATCATCTGTGGTACTTTGATATCAGCAAGGCTACTCTTTGTCGGTGCTGAAGTTGTAGGCCTTTCCTGGTTCTATAAAGTCGTTTTGGCTTTTGAATTTTAGTTGTTTACTTTTATACATCTATTCTTATATGTTGTCAGTTACTTAGTTTCCCAGTTGCTTATATTACTCATCTTAGGATCTAAGGTGGGATGCTGTTTCCCCTTTGCTGCTCTTGAGGTCTTGGGGTTCATCTAGCTTTGAATGCAATTGTACATTGTAGCATAGATTGCATAGTTGTTTGTTGTTACTTTCCTGCCCCATGATAACCATTACTCCCTCCATTTGCCATTGGTGTTTTGACTATGGTGATCATCATACTTTTTTCTTATTCCTTTCATGGCAAAGAGAGTTCTTTCTTTTACTCCTGTTGTCCCACTCCCACGTACGTGGATCCGCCCACTTATACTACTTCATATATAATTATAGTTATGTCTCTATGAAACTCTCATTGCTATCCAATAAATAAAAAAAAGAGACTCACTTTCCACAAGTTTTCTCCTTTTCTTGAAATCTGTTTCTACACTAGATAGGAAGAATGGAAGATCAATTGGAAATGGAAGGAGTATGAAGGGGGTGGCCTGAGATTTGGTGATAGTTTCTGTAATGAGACTAGAGTTAGGTTCTCTTTGTGCTTCTTCCTCTATCTATGATTGTACCTCAATGCTGCTTTCAGCTTAGGGAATTCTGTTACTTAATACGAAGTATATTATTTGAACAGCTAACATATTTAATGAATTTAGTGTGAATGTGGAAAATTAGCTGCCAATGCTTGAGTATGAGCTGATAAGATCTGTTTGCCATTGTATAACGGCTTGTTTCTTTTACTATCTCCATCAACCTAAGTCCAACTTTTATAGCAACAAAATCATAAGAGGGGGATCACACATGTGGGTTAGTCACTTAGTCCCAAAAGGTGATAGGCTAATGATTAGTGCTAGGAACCCCACACCGATGCCTTTCTTTATTGCAGATTTTAAACTAAATATGATGCCATTGTTTATTTATGATGACTATGCCTGTATGATAGCCCAAGCCCCACAGTACTGTGCCATCACTACTGGGGCTGTGGAGTATTCATTATTTATATTTAGTCCAATTAATAATCTGGAACCATCATTGCAAGTATTGATGTGCATTGCTTTCTTCCTTTATCCTTTTTGTTGCTCATTTTCTTTGAATATCTATTATCTTGCAGGTTCATATACTTGTTTATCGGCGTCGGAGCTGTTCTTTTTGTTATATCATGTTTTGGTTGCATAGGAGCTTCGACAAAGAATGGGTGCTGTCTCTCTACTGTATCCTTGAAATTTAACTTTAATAATTAAAATTTTTAGGACTTTATTATCTAACTCATTAACATTCTTTGATCCTATTTGTGCTGATTTAATTGGCGAACTACCTGTTTTCATCTAGCTGGTTTTTATGCTGCTTGGACTTCTTGTTTGGCACCAAGGACTTTATTTGACAGGAGTGGGTTATTTTTATACTTTTCTGTATATCTTATTTCCTCAAACCAACCATACTATTGTCTATTGGGCGTATCTCTCATTTTCTCATTATATGAACTAAAAAAAAACACTAGATTTTGTTTCTCTCCTTTTTACTTTGAGTCAATATCATCCTGGCACCTTTACATTTTCTGCGTATTCATCCTGGTACCCTATTATACGAGGATTTCATTCCACCTATTGACGATTTCCGTGTATGTGTGCTATGCATAACCAATGCTAAGTTACATTAACAATCAACTCAATTTAATTAGTCTAAAAAGGTAACTAGTAATATAAGACGAAAGTATCTCTCATTATTTTAAAATTAAAGTCCTCTAATCTGATTTGCATGACAAAAATCATATTCCTTAACCTTACATAGTATGCTGTGTTCATAATTTTGTTGATTTTGTTGGAGCTTGGATGTGCAGCCTTCATATTCTTCGACAAAGATTGGGATCATGTAAGTGCTCTTTAGATTGATTTCATGGTGATGAATATTATTGTTTATTGTCTGAACTAACCCGTGTCTTGCTTTTCAGAAAATCCCTGCTGACAAAACTGGAACCTTTGATATGATTAATGACTTCCTGGAGGATCATTGGTCTATTGCCAAGTGGGTTATTCTTGGGGTTGTTGTTTTGGAGGTAAATGCTTCTTCAGTATATCAAAAATTTTCTTTCAAATGGAACTCTTACAGCTTAAACTTTATTTCAAAATGGCGGTGGTGTGTGAGTGTGTGGTGGGGTATACAGGAATACAGGAACTAAAACCTCCTAAATTATTGAGGGAATTTTGTGACATGGAATTGATTACTAGTCCAATTTCCTATGAGCCCAAATTTTGTATGCAGTCAATGCAGATATGCTATTTCGCTTTTGATACTAGTCATATATATAATAAAAAAAATTCTGAAAAAATCTGTGCGCCTCAGGGGGTGGTCTTAGCTGCGCCTTATCAAAATCGCCTCGCCTAGACCACAAAAGGCGTATGACTCTTAACGCCTTGCTCCTCTGCGCCTAGGCGCACCTTTTCAAACACTGCACATCTCTTTAACAAAATGGAGGACATTAAGAAAAGGATAATAGAAAGGGAAGCATAATTTTCTGTATAAGTGATTTAGCAAGAATTTGCCTTTAGTGGAGAGAAATTGAGATGACTATTGAATATGAATGTTTTTGAGTCACAGTGCTGAACTTCTCTGTTGGTTGTGAGATTTGGGTTTTGCAAGTGGTAAAGCCGAGAGAAATGAATAAAATGAGAGAGGTCATAAGATTACTGAGTAATACTGAGAGTTTGAGAAGTACTATTTATACATGCCAGTGTAGCTTTCATTGTTTTGAGTTGTGAAAAATTGTTTTGTACCATCTCACAAGTTTCAAACTCTTCTGGGCTTAGAAAATGCTATGGCCAGTCAATAAGAAGAGATGGAGAGTATCATTTAGTGGATTGAATTTTCTAGAACTACAATGGTACACTCAAATTGCTTGTGAGGCTGGATTTTGCACTAAAGAAAAAGGACAAGAGAAGAACATAGAACAAGAGGGACACACAAGGCTGTTGAGGAAAAAATGAGTAATGCCTAGTACATACTAGGAGACTATACTAGGGTATCTTCGTTGTTATGCTAATTGTACTATAATATGAATTTCGAACACTTTTGAGCATAACAATAGATGAACAAAGAGTCTTGGTAACACTTAAACTACTTGATACAGTCATGCTACTTCATTTTGGGATTGGATACCTGAAATAATTATAAACATGTTTACTGAATTCAATTTGGGATAATGTGAAAGGTCGATTGGGTATCTGTCCTGAAAGAAATTTTTTATTTGGTACCTTAATTTTAATTTAAATTTCAGATCAGAATTTCGAGTTATGGTGTAGATTTGGACATCCCTGCTGATGTATTCTGACTAGAATGTACAAACTGCTGCCTAATGGTGTTAGTAATGCTGCTAATGTTACACTTCTTAATTTTTTTGTGCCTTGTGCCCTTGTCTACTACTACTACCTTGACACCCACATGTAGGTGGGTGAAGCTGAATGAGGTCTTTTAATCATTCTTTTAATCTATGTATGCATTAGGGGTAGGAATCAGTGAACATTAATTTGAGCTCGTAATTGACTGAATGGAATTGAAAACTAGTTTGTTTGTTTAAATGCTCAGATCAATGAGGGCCATGGGCTTTATGTTCCATCACCTTTAGGTGCTCCAAGTGTTAGAAAATATTACGAATTATTATTATTACGTAGTGTTATATATATATATATAACCTTTTCTATTCCATGCATTGATGTTTTGAATTTTTCTAATTTTCCAGGCAGCATTGTTCTTGTTAACCGTCATTGTTAGATCAATAAACAGGCCTGCTGATTACGACAGTGATGAGGAGTTCATCAACCCAAGGCAGACTGTTAAGCAGCCTCTTATTAACAGACCACCTCCTGCAACTGGTGTACCTGTTACTGGTTCTGCTGATCAGAGGCCCGGCAGGAATGATGCTTGGAGTGCACGTATGAGGGAAAAGGTGTGACTAAAAATATGCCTTTTGAATTCAGAGATTTTCCTATTAGATCTTTTTTTATATATTCTATTTATTCTTTATTTCTTCTGTTCCTTTTACCTCAATTTTTTCTCTGGAATGGTTGTAAATCCAGTATGGGCTTGATACTTCGGAATTCACTTACAACCCATCAGAGTCAGGCCGGTACCAGCAGTCGGCTGGCCAGGCACCATCAGAAGGGGGCCGCTGCACCATCATGTAAAAAAGTGAAGCATTGTTCTTTGTTGCCGAAATTGAGATCCTTCAAGAATGGTGTGAAAAGCTCCCATTTGTATCAGGGCAAAATCAACTTGACAAGTTTGGTGTGTAAAATTCACATTTTTCAGGTGTTTTTTTTCCTCATCTGATTTTACCTAGACCGAGAAAATCTTCCTTTCAGTACAGTTCATTTGGTGTAAAATGTGCACATAGTTGAGTTATGGTCCCGTGTTTGAGTCATTACTCACTTCCAAGACTTCTGATCCTTAACTAAACATGAAAGTTCTGTTTTTTTTTTTTTTTTTTTTTTTTTTTTTTTTTTTTTTTTTTTTTTTTTTTTTTTTTTGTAAGAGTAAATTTTTGCAATTCTGTTGGTTTTGATGGCCTGCAGAGGCTTATCTACTGGCTTGTTATTCTTCCTCGATCATGGTCAGTTGAACTAGTTTTCGAATATTTGATGATAAGTAGAATCCCCACCTCGATGATGGACTGATGGATACCCGCACCACAGCACTTGAATGGGAAGTTATTATCGGGAATCCTTAATAGATATGCCTTCTCCCACTAAATTGGGCGAAAAACCCAAAAGAAAAAAAAAAAAAAAAAAAAAAAAAAAAAAGAAAAAGAAAAAGAAAATGATTTGCTCATAAAGTATTAGAAAGGGACATTTAATTTCAACGGGAAGACTATACAACTACGAAGGTGTGTTATTAGTTGGGCCGAAATTTTCCAATATGAATGCGAAGTTGATAATGCATCACATAAGTTGTGCACATCCCAAACTCAAATCGAAATCCAACCCGAATATCCGGCAAATTGGGAAGTTATTTAATTTTAAATTTGTTCTCTGTAGGTGGCCAATCAGCAATCGACACCTCATGTCCTCATGGGCTCATGTTAATATTGAATACCACGTTGTACTATTTGCAAGTTTTGAATAGACAAATTCACCCTGAATTTTCAATTATAATGATATTATCTTGAAAGTGTTTAATAATTATATCATGGCTTATGAGTTTAGCTGTTTAAGTGCATGAATTCACGTCATTAGAGATGGATTTGAATCTTTCATGTAGACACTGAATCGGTAAGTGGCAAAAACTTCAGTACAATGATTGACCTCACTTTGGACCAAGCAATGCTTGAGGGTCACATGGTCGAATTCTCTTATTATAATGCTGGCTTGCGGTACCTGGGGTTGAGGATCCCTTGTTCTTCCCCCTTATTTGTCAACAACTATTTTACTAAGCATTTATACTTAATTATCTATTTTCACAACTAACAAGGGGTCAAGTATAATTACACACACAGCTAACAACTAGTATCACAATTAAAAACCAGCTCTACAACTATATTTTGTCAAACAAAACCTAAGTATCTGACCGTAAATATTGAACCAAACAAATCACAAAGGTTGAGGTCTTTTTGCTAACCCTGGAAAATAATAAATTTGGCCTTTGTACCTCACTTTGAAATGCGTCAATTTTTTATGGTCCATCTTATGTAAAAGTCATATAAATACTCATTAATAAAATCATGCACAATAGACATCCATCTTAGTCTTTGTTTGATAAATATACTTGTATAAAAAAGCAAAAAGTTCTATGAAATGAAAGTTGAAAACTATAGAGATATTTTGTTTGACGAGGTGCTCCTTTAAAAACTACAAATGTTATTATCCAAACTTAATATTTTTTACGTAGTTTATATCTATATTAATGTTTTTGAATCTACCATCATTTGGAGAAAACAGTGGTTGATTAAATATTTGTAACAAATTAAAGTACACATTCAAATATCAACACCGTATCTTTGATAAAGGTGACAATACCATTCATAAAAATCTTCCCATAAATTTAGTTTTCTAACAAAAAGAAATGTAGAAATCCAAAATTACAAGTCAATTAGGAGAAGTAGAGAAGTATCTAACCATTAAACAAGGCAAGTTGTAGTATAATTATTTGATTATCAACTAAATATCCTAGAATTATGGTCGGTATAATAAGGATTATAATGTAAGATCTTTATAAATGGGTTTGAAGACACCTACTTTAATTTGGAATGTTACCAAATAAACACGCTCCATTACCATTAAACATCAATATTATAAAGTTAATTAAGTTTATTAGTTGGTTTATTAGTTTAATTTTATTTTGTTTTCTTGGGGATTATAGACGTGCCAAAGGTTTGTTGGGTGGAGATATTCCTACTTGAAACACTAACCATACCCTCTCAATGTGAAATTTTCAATAGTATCCAATATGATAATTGGCAAAAAAAACACAAAAAAATTGTATAAGATGTTTTGAATTAAATTTTATCTTCCAGAAATTATTTTTTAATATTTTTGAAATTCTAGAAATTAAAAATATATGTATAATAATTAAAAATATAATTTTTAATTAAAATTACTCATTAAAGATAAATCAAAAGTCAAACAATCTCAGCCGTCCATTTAAAAAAAAACTGTGGTATTCAAAAGTCATAAGTCTTGTATCACCTTATATGTACTTATGCTTGTTTTCATGCAGCTAAGTAAGAGAAGAAACCAAATAAATAAATAAGTAATTAAAGAAAGAAAAGAAAAACATACATTTTGGTTTTTTTAACCTCAATTTAGGGTCCAATCAACTTTATTCCACAATTGACGATAGCAATATCATTGTTAAGGTAGATATTTCTCACCTTCTACATCAGTAACAGCACAATCGATCCAAATATATCATCATTCATTATTATTCAGCATATTTGACCATTTCTTCTAGGGTTGGAAACTTGGAATTATCATCAACTACAATATTATTTGAATATATAGTGCATTCGTGAATGACCATTGATTATGACTTGTTTTATTCTACAATTGCCCTTTTTTTCACCCCTAATTCTCTTATTCAACATGTCCTTTGTATCGAGAGTATAATGCCTAAACAAGCGCATCTTGGATTGATGTCGTCTTTGTTGATTATTGCTTATTAGAACGTGTACGTATTAAGTTATATACTCTATAATCAACCTAATTAGAAAACTTTTGTTCCGTTAGATATTTATATGAAATAATAAATGGTCCAAATCTCTTAAATATACCATTAAGATTCACTTTTTGCATATACTCAAATTCACGCATATGTTCGAAACATTATTATTTTATCGCTGGATAATGTGTTTACAGTACGTCTTTATACTTTTGATTTTTATCGTTGGATATCATAGAGGTAATATGATGTGCATGTACTCAAATTGTCAAAAACGAACGTTAAAGAATGTAGTAGTTAATATAATAGCAACAACGTACGTAGTAGTAATTTAAAGGTTTGGTAAGAACTCAAGGAAAGGAGCCAGGAGATAAGCAATGACAATCTAGAAACATCTAAAAATAACTTCCTTTTATTTAAATTATCTTAATTATAATATAGAGTCTTACTTCTTTTGTCTTATTGTATAATTTAATCAACTAATGCTAAATCAAGCAGGTTTTACATGAATAAGATTGGCTCGGCATGTTCTATTTGATATAGGCGAAGAACCCAACTCGGTTAAAAAAAAAATGGAAAAGAAGCAGAACCAAGTCAAGATGATACAGATCAACCCCTTCTTCTTGTGCCAAAGATCTTACCCTTTCCAAAGGAACTGAAGTTCCATCTCTTTTCCATTTCCATTCAAGAGTTCTTATGTGTTTCCGCCCCCCCCCCCCCCCCCCCCCCCCCCCCCCGCCCCGAAAAATGGAAAAACTCCTTTTCTTAGGAACACACACCGCATTCGTCACTCCAAAAAGGATAATGGTAACCCCACCATTAACCACTTCATTTATGAATTTCATAGTAATAGTAATACATGTCCTACCGAGACAGAATTTTTAACTTGCTATCCTCTTGCCTAGAAGGCAAAGATTTACCTCTGTGGAAAGGATGATTCATTCGGATCGACATGAGTGTCCAACTACATTACATTGCCAGAATCCGTGTTGTATATTTGAAAGAGGTTGACCTCCTTGCTTCTCTCATCGTACAATCCTCTTCTCGACGAGCCCCCCCTTCTCCTCGGTCCACAGAGACAAAATGTAGGGCTGGTGCCAAGAGTTCATCACGGAATAAGGGACTCACTGAGTCGGGATCACTAACAAATACTAATCTAATATAATATACTAATATAATAGAAATGAAATGTCAATAGAAAAGAACTGTCTTTTCTGTATATTTTCCCCGGTTATCTTGCTACCGTGAGCTTTACGCAATCGATCGGATCATATAGATATCCCTTCAACACAACATATGTACGGTCATCGAAAGGATCTCGGAGACCCACCAAAGCGCAAAAGCCAGGATCTTTCAGAAAATGGATTCCTATTCGAAGAGTGAACAATCGCATGGATAAGGTCACACTAACCCGTCAATTTGGGATGATACAATTTGGGATTTTCCTTGGTAGGTATCACAAAGGAATTGGAATGTAATAATATCGATTCATGTAGAATAAAAGGTTCTCTATTGATTCAAGCACTGTACTTATGAGATAGGGATAGAGGAAGAGGAAAACCCGAGGATTTTACATAGAACTTTCATCGAAAAATCAAAATCAATCGGATTTTTTTCGTACCCTTCGCTCAATGAGAAAGTGGGTCAGATTCTACGAGATCAAATCTATGGGACTTAAAGAATTATGGAAAGGATCCAATGGCTTCAAAAGAATTGAACGAGGAGCCGTATGAGGTGAAAAATCTCATGTACGGTTCTGTAGAGTGGCAGTAAGGGTCACTTATCTGTCAACTTTTCCACTATCACCCCCAAAAAACCAAACTCTGCCTTACATAAAGTTGCCAGAGTACAATTAACCTCTGGGTTTGAAATCACTGCTTATATACCTGGTATTGGCCATAATTTACTAGAACATTCTGTAGTCTTAGTAAGAGGGGGAAGGGTTAAGGATTTACCAAGTGTGAGATATCACATTGTTCGAGGAACCCTAGATGCTGTTGGAGTAAAGGATCGTCAACAAGGGCGTTCTAGTGCGTTGTAGATTCTTATCCAAGACTTGTATCATTTGATGATGCCATGTGAATCGCTAGAAACATGTAAAGTGTATGGCTAACCCAATAACCAAAGTTTCGTAAGGGGACTGGAGCAAGCTACCATGAGACAAAAGATCTTCTTTCTAAAGAGATTCGATTCGGAACTATTATATGTCCAAGGTCCAATATTAAAATAATTTCAGAGGTTTTTCCTGACTTTTCTCATGTCAACAAACAATTCGAAATGCTTCGACTTTATTAGAACAGGTCTAAGTCAAATAGCAATGATTCAAAGCACTTCTTTTTACACTATTTCGGAAACCTAAGGACTCAATCGTATGGATATGGAAATACATGATTTCCAATCCTAGTAGGAAAAGGAGGGAAACAGATACTTAATTTAAAGTGAGTAAA